AAAACGCGTCATTTAGTTAAAAAAAAAAAAATCGCGCGTGTTTTGCCGTTAACGGCGTTTTTTTTTTTTTTTTTTTTTTTTTTGATTATGAATGTACAGTTATGCCGTTATGAATGTACAGTTATGCAATTATGAAATTATGAACACATAGCTCTAACATTATGAACTTACAATTATGAACATATAGTGATAAAATTATGACCATGGAGCTTTAAAATTGTGAATATAGAGCTTCGAAGATTATGAATGTACAGTTATGGAGTTATGGAGTTATGAATCTATAGTTATGAGATTATGAATCTACAGTTATGGAATTATGAATGTACAGTTATTGATTGAATTATGAACAAAGAGCTCTGACATTATGAACTTACAATTATGAACATATAGTGATAAAATTATGAACATAGAGCTATAAAATTGTGAACATAGAGCTTCGAAAATTATGAATGTACAATTATAGAGTTATGAATGTACAATTATAGAGTTATGAACGTACAATTATGGAGTTATGAATGTTACAGTTATTAACATATAGTAATAAAATTATGAACATATACTCCTATAACGAAGCGGTCTGATTTTTTTTTTTTTTTTTAAAAGAGGAGATAACAGTGCCTAACGGCACTGTTACCCGTGTCCAGCATGCATGCTGGACACGGGTCCATAGCATAACGATTGACAAAATATTTAGTGGATACAAAAAGGCTTGGTCCAAACATGAGCTATTTTTCACATAGGAGGGAAGCCCAACCCAACAGATTTATATGCAAGGTGAACTAATGATAATGTTCGGTTTTAGTATATTGAGTATTCATTTTTAGTGTATTAAATACTCATTTTTAAGTAGTATAGCTAAAAATGATCATTCAGTATATTAAAAAAATCTCAAAAAAAAAAATCAATATTAAAAATGAATTTCAATAAAATAAACTTGTGGTAAATCTTACCGTGTGTATCATGGCCCTTCTTACGTAGTCTAACCATCATAGAACGTCGCTGCTTTATTTTGACTAACTAACGCCTCCTGGCTGGCTGCTAAGAAATGTGAGATGACATTTCATTGTTGCATAAATAAATAAATTATTATGGGAAACCCACCAAATGTCCATTTTGGTGGGACGAAAATCACAAGTGAATATTGATATCTTCCAAACGTATTGTTTATTCCTTAGGGTAATGTTTGAAAATAGAAAAATGATTTCTGTAAATCATTTTTTAAAAAATATAAGTCAAAAGAAAATAATTCATTTTTTTTAGAAAATGACTTCCCATATTTGTTGAGAAGTCATTTTACAATTTTCACACCATCACTATCACCACCATACCATCACCATCTCACTACCACCATCACCACCACCACCACCACCGCCACCATCATCACCCCTGGCATCACCACCACTACAACCACCACCACCACACGACCACCATCATACCACCACCATCGTAGCCACCTCTACCACCACTTATTATTATTATTATTATTATTATTATTATTATTATTATATTCTAAACAAAACAATTAAAATATTTAATTATATAATTCTACCCATTTTCAAGAAAATGAACCAAACACATCAATACATATTTTTGGAATGCAACCAAACACGAGAAATGAAAAGATTTTCTAGAAAATGACTAATTTTTCAAAAAATATTTTTCAGAAGTCATTTTTCTGGTTTTCAAATAAGAGTTCACCCAAATCTTTATTACCTAAGAAGTTGTTTATGTAGCGCTTTTCCCTCATTATAATTATTAATTTTTTATTGGTGCATTATTTAACTATGCATTAAATATGATAACAATAGGTAATTAAAGATATTCACGCAACTCAAAGAAATATACTCTATTTCTCACGTTGATTCGTAGTAACAACACAGAGCTTTTTGTGACTCACTCCTAAGACAAAGAGACTATCCAATCTTCATCAAACGGAAGTTATGGCTGGAGATTAATTAGTATATGGTTAGATTAATTTTTGTTTTTTTTTTTGTTTTTAATAATTACTGAGTTGATTTTTTTAAAGTTGTAGTGAAAATGTAGAACATATACTATCTTGTAATAAAGTCAATAATATTCAAAAAAAAAAATTAAAAATAACCAATGAATATAAAGAGTTTCATTATAATATGAATAAGTAAATATTATGGGTAAATTTAGGGAGACAAATATATATATATATATATATATATATATATATATATATATATATATTAAATACAAATTTTACTTCTGCCGTTCTACATTCATCATCTTATCAATACTAAACTCAGTTTTGTAATTTTGTATGTTTGTTCTAGAATTAGCAAGTTGGACATTTTCTTAATATAAAATTTGTTACTGAAATAACGAAATTGTAAGGCAAAACATGTGGAATTTGAACTAAGATACAAATATTATTGAAATCATTGTCTGTGTCAATATGACGAATTTGACTTAGTATATTCTTTGACATAACTTACATAGAATCTCATAATAGTATGATCAAAATCATATGCCATCTGAACTTTTTTTTCCCCCCTGAAACGATGAACATATAATACAATTCAAGAGTTAATTCAAGGAATGACATATTGACTGTTGACATTTATTTTCTACTTTTAATTGCACTATATAAATAATTTTTTACTATTGACATTTATCAATTGTTATCATCGAATTTCAATTTCACCATAAATGGTATATTGACTATTGATTTTTATATATATATTTTCTAAATTTGGTTCTCTACTTTTTTTTTGTGAGAAAAAAATTGGTTCTTTAATTAAATATCAATTTAGTAAAAATTAAATTTAAAGATAATAATGTAAAATTTTAGTTCTTCACATTTCCACTAATTATGATCCCAAAGTATTAAATTTATGAACTCAATTTGCATATCTCAAGAACAAGTCAATTTTTACATTATTACCCTTAACTTAATTCCAGCAATAGTCCTCTGACTATAGTGATTTTCCAAAATTAGTCCCCGACTTTTAATTTGGACACTTTAGGTCCCTTGACTTTCAATTTATTTCCAATTGAGGTCCTTTCGTTAGAATACGGTTCATTAGACTTTAAATGAAGGGGTAAACTCGTCCTTTCACATGCCTATGTATTATTCTTCGTATTTCTCCCTTCGTAGTTCGCTGTTATACCTTGTAAACATCTCAATAATAGAGGAACGCACACACGAGTAGTCAGCAAATGGGGAACGACGATGAACATTTTAGGGTTTCGACTAAGATTATCTTCATAGATATTGCGTATACAATGGAGAAATACTAAGAATAATACATAGGCAGGTGAAATGATGAGTTTACCCCTTCATTTAAAATTCAATTAACCGTATTCTGACGAAAGGACCTCAATTGGAAAGAAATTGAAAGTCAAGGGACCTAAAGTGTCCAAATTAAAAGTCAAGGACTAATTTTGGAAAATCAATATAGTCGGAGGACCATTGTTGGAATTAACTCGTTTACTAAATGGATATTTAATTGAATGACCAAATTTGGTATGAAATCAACAGTCAAGTGACTATTTATGGTCAACTTGAAAATTGATAATGCAAATTGGTAAATGTCAATAGTTAATGAACCATTTATGATTGAGTTAATACCCAAAATCGTCCTCGACTATAGTGATTTTTCTCAATTTCGTCCTAAACGACTTTGGTGACCTAATATCGTCCTAGACTTTTGTGTTTCGCTCAATTTAGTCCTAGACTTTTGTGATTTTGCTCAATTTAGTCCCTCATTTGTTATTCTGTCTATTTGGTGTTAAATAAATAGACAATTCAGTAATTTTAATATTAGCATCTCTTTACTCATAGGCATGTGAACTGCGAAATCCCTTTTTTTTTTTTTACGAATTACTCCCAGAATTACTCCTAAAACTGCGAATATAAAATTTGATTTGCAAGTCCGGGAGTAATTCTGGGTGTAATTTGTACAAGAAAGAGGAATTTCGCACTTCACAAGTTGAAAGTAAAGAGAGATCAATATTGACATTACTGAATTGTCCCTTAATTTAACACCAATTTGACGGAATAACAAATGGAGGACTAAATTGGGCGAAACACAAAAGTCTGGGACGATATTAGGTCACCAAAGTCGTTTAGGACGAAATTGAGAAAAACCACTATAGTCGAGGACGATTTTGGGTATTAACTCATTTATGATCTAATTAAAATTCGATAATAAAAATTGGTAAGTGTCAATAATAGTCAATGCATCATTCATCGAATTAACTCTTTAATTCAATTATAATATAAATTTTAAAAATTAAATTTGTATAATACAATTTATAATATTTTTTTACCAATGAAATATATATCTTTTATTTATATGAATACATGTCTTAGATCATAATGCAAAGAATTAAACCATATTGAATCAAACCGATTAATTAATATTAATTTTATAAACGCATATGTTTTCTTAACAAGCACCTAACAGGCAAATTATATCGTGCACCAAAGTGTATAATGCATTGTACTCCCTAATCAAAACAACGTAGTTTTGTATATGTTTTTTTTATAGAAATTCCGTTTATCGTTTTTATCGTTAACTTCTAAAAATAATCTCCTGTTTCGAATATACATAATTGTATAGTAGAATACACATAAACTCATAACATAATACACATAATCTAATATAAACTCTTAACAGAATACACATAAAATCTTAACATAAAAAACGAGGTTATTTTAGACAGGGCACGATATAATGATTGCACCTAACATCACTTTGTGTTTTCCTGTTATTTAAAGCTATTTATTTACCTCATGACGATGAGAATTGACGATAGATATATAGAAGAAGCTTCCAATTTCCAATTAAGGCTGTATACTTATTGTTTCTGCTTCTAGTACAAGTAAACAAAGTCTCGTCACATGTCAAACATTCAACGCCAAAGCCGTGGCACGCGGTTAATGAGAGTCCATCTTCTTCACATGCATAATAATCAAACATTTAATTACTACTTCAATAATAATCTTTAATAATCCTTAAAACATATATATATAAGCCCAAACATTCATGTCTGCACATCGTACCTATACTATCTAGCTCCTATTACATTATTATCACCGAATTAAAGTTGCGTTATTAGTTGATGATGGCCACAACCACTCCACAATCGCCGGCTCACGAGCAAGTCCAGCCACTGGCACCGGCCGTTTCCGGGCACAGCCACCGTGCGGACGACGTCGAGAGCGGCGGCCGGCCGGTGGACAGCAAGGCTGGACGGAGACGCAAGTGCATCAAGTGTTGCGGGTGTTGCAGCGTGGTGACTTTGATCATAATTCTGGTGATTCTGATATTAGCTTTCACGGTTTTCCGCGTAAAGGATCCTACGGTGAGGATGGACTCGATCCAGATCGAGGGTCTAAGCTCTCTCACGACAAGAAACCTCAACCCCAACGTTAACCTGACCCTGTTCGCCGGCGTGTCGGTGAAAAACCCGAACGCCGCGTCGTTCAGGTTCGACGAGGCCACGATGAGCTTGTTGTACGACGGGAGAGTGGTGGGTGAAGCCCAGGTTCCGCCGGGGAACGCCCGGGCAAGGCGGACGTTAAAGATAAACTCGACGGTCATCGTTATGGTCCAGAATTTAATAGGCGTGCCGCGGCTGACCAGTGATTTGATCGCCGGCGAACTGCCCGTCGGTATGACTACTAGGATTCACGGGAGAGCAAAGGTTTTGGGGATCATAAAGAAGAGCGCTACGGTGAGATTGAACTGTACGATGTCGTTCGACCTGTCGAGCCAAGGTATTGAGAATCTTGATTGCGACAGAAAGGTGTCCCTGTAGGATAGAGAACCGGTCATGGCAGACAATATTGATTTGTGTTTTTTTATTTATTATTTTGAAATTATTATTGTAATGATTTTAGCATATTGGGATGATATAATATTATTTTTAAATTAGTAATTATTTTATATGGAAAAGATATTTGGCATTGACAGACAGTGACATAAGGTACGTGATAATTATATTGCGAATTGGGCATGGTTTTTGGCCAAACTGTGTCCAAATTGGCTATGGCTTCTGGCTAATTATTGGACAATCCAGCCATAGGTTGGTTAGAACCATGGCCGCCTAGCCTGCCCTGGCTATTAAAACTATTGTTGATCCCAAATTCCTCATATAGAGTTTGTAATTCTTTGTGGTTGAGAGGTGTTTGGTTCAATTTTTATTAGGATTTTGACTTTTATTTTATGTGTTTGTGCCGGGTGAGTTAAGTAAAAATTACATTACTAATTTTGGAATTTGATCATTAGAGTTTAGAATATAATACAAAATTTAAAAAATAATAAGTTAAATACTTGATATATATTTTCACTATAATTATTGAAAAATAATCATGGTGTTAGCAATTACATGCCAAAGTTGAGCTTACTTGCATAAAAAGTAATGTGTTTGACAACATAGAGACATATACTAACGAACTAAACACTAATAAGTATATCCAAAAGAGAAAATATAAAGAACTTTAAACATATATTTGAAACATAAATGCTAACAAATCATCTCAGATGATTATGCATTTGATGTTGTAGGTGGTGCACTCGATGTTGTAGGTGGTGCATTTGATGTTGTAGGTGCAGCAGTATCTTGGCCAGCTTTTAAATCTGCGTTATTATTTCTTTTTTTTGTTACTGCACTTACAATTGAAACATAAGTATCCAATAATAATCGTCCCAATTATAACCATAAATAGGATCAACACAATATATAATTTGATCCATGGGGTTATATGGAAAGAATCAGATGGAGTTGAAGATTGAGTTGGGAAAGAATCAAATGGGGTTGAAGATTGAGTTGGGAAAGAATCAAATGGGGTTGAAGATTGAGTTGGGGCAATTTCATATGGAAAAATCATTGACACAACGTTTTGTTGGGACGTTGTTTAAAGGAATGACTACAGTAATTGAGAGATTAGAGAATTTGGATTTTTTTTTGGACTTGAAAGGACTATATATAAGCTTGAGAGTTTACAAATGTAAGATAGTAAACTATCCAAAAAAAAAAAAAAAAAAAAAAGTTGCCTAATAATAGGAATATTAAGTTTTGGTATTACTTTCCCTTCTAAATTCCTAATATTATTATTCTTTCAAAAGGTTGAACCCCAATTCTAAAGGCCCCCCACACTCCTCCTAATATTATTATTATTACTATAGTTTTACACGCGCACTACGCGAATGGTTTAATACTCAATGATTATATTTAAATATAAGTATTTTAAAATATATCAATGCAAGATTATATAGGAGAAATTCATACATAGGTAATTGAATGTCGAATTTGTTTATTTAAATATGTAACTCAAAGTATATGAATGCAATATAATATAGGAGATTCATTATAATTGTTACTGAAATAAATGTTTGCAACTTTGTAAAATCGATAGGCTAAACACTTAGTCTAAAAACGATAGTCTAAATAAATACTACTTATAAATACTACTTTTAGTTTGAATTTTTCTAAGTATTCTTAATTCTCTTTTGAGTAGCATTGTCATTGTCTTCATCTTCACTATTTGTCATTTTTTTTTTTTGTTGGCAGTGTGTTATTTGCAATTGGGTTATTGTTGGTAGCATAAATGAAAACGTCATACAATGAGATTATGGTGTAGGAAGCTGTAGATTTTCCTTATTGGGTATATGACTGAGATCTTAGTTGTACTATGAATTCTTGATCTTGAAAGTCTTTGTTGATATTTTGTAGTGGTAATTTTTCTCCTACATATTTCATGTGGAAGTATTAAATAAAATATTAATATTTATTATATTTGTATAAGGTTCATGGGCGTGAGTATTATTATTATTGATGTTATTATTTGTATAACCTATAGTTAGTTAATATGTGGTGATAGAATTAGTTTGAGATTGTATCCTAATATATAGGAGTGTTTAGAGGTATACTGAGATATACACTCTTGTATTCTCATCTTCTGTAACTGTTTTTTAAAAAAAAAAAAAAAAATTGTTTACTTGATAGTAACAACAATAACTCTGCAGGTAGTTAGAATACTGATGCTGCAACGTGTCCAATTTATCAATAATTTTCATATCCATTTTGCACATTTTATTTTTTAAGTTCATATTTTTAGAATTAATATGAATGAGTTGTAATACTTGATTTTGCGTGTGTGCGTGTGTTTTTAATTTTTTTTTTTATTGAATTGATACTAACCTTGGTGTTAAATTACTTTGTGCATAAACTTTTTTTTTTTTTTAAATAGTGACTACATTTGATATACCAAGTAATTTTGTTGTAAAGATTGATGCTGATTTTGCCATAATCTAAGCAGGTTGAGTCTAGTAGATGAAATGAATTGTAAATTTATATTAGTTCTAATATATTTAATGAATGCAAAATAAGTATTTTACATAGAGCATCAATGAATGAATTAACGGTGGCTATTCTGAAATTTTTTCATTTTATAGGTTTGCCAAATTGATTGCAGTATGGTTGTAGTTTCGACATCTTTTCAATGCATCAAATGTGTTATGATGTTCTATTGCCCTACATTGATAGTTTAATAATGAGTTTTAAATGTAGCTACGTAAGATAATGATATAATTAACATTTACATATTATTATCAACATCAAAACATATTAGTCATTTAGGTGGTCCGTTCGGAGTTCATTTGGTTCAATCATTATTGTGAATGAGTTATTGTGAAATGTGAATATAGAAATCCATAGTTTAAGGAATAAGATTAGATAAAGTAGTAAAAATTTGAACATTTTAAATATGATGTAATCCAAAGATATTACGAGTTAGTTTCCCGCTTCAATTTGTTGGGTTATTTTAATATTCTTGGTCAACAATTCCCCCAAGTAATTTATATGATTGGCTTCAAACTATTTTTTAAATTTATTTTCATGGTCTTATTAAAATACTTGGTAAATAAATATATAATATTATTTTGTATTATAACTTTGATATTTAATTACAAGATAGTGTAAAAAGAAGATAATGGACAATGGTTTTCAAAAAAAGATAATGGACAATGTAGTGAATATAATCCATTGATGAATTTGAATGTAAAGAATTTTTGCATGGGAGAAAATAAAAATAATATAACTAATAAATTATTTCTCTTATTTAATTTATTAATAATGAATATTTTTTTTTTTTGAATAAAGGCCTTATAGACACATAATTTTAAATTAAAGAAATGCATATGTATTATTTTTTGTTGTGGCAACTAATTTATTTGATTTAATAAGAATAAAATAGATTAAGAAAGTTAATTATGCCAACTTTGATTGGGATGATGTTTGAACCTAAGACATTTCTTATTGAAATTAATGAGTAAGTTAACGGAGAATATAATTTTTAACAAAGAAGTTAACAGTGTGTGGGTGTTTAAGGGAATAAAATCATATAATTAAGGGAGAAGTGTCAAATAGGCTAATCTACTATTACCAAGTGCTCAATTTCTACCACGAACTAAATTAAAGGCTCATTAGCCACACTTACCTGCTAAATTTGTTCAATTGACTTTTTTTGCAGGTTGCTAACAGGTTACTAATCTAATTATTAAAAAAATAATTAAAAATTAAAAAAAATGGAATTTCACAAGCCTAATGACTTTTATTATTATTTTTAGTTTTTTTTAGTTTTTTTTTTTTTTTTGGTTTTATCCTAAGTTAATATTATTTAACTAGCTTAGTCCATTAAGCCTAATGACTTTTTAGCCACAATTAATTGTTTTCCCCTCTGTAGTCAACAACGATTACGAACGAAAAAAGAGAGATAAGGAGCGTTCTTCGGCCATGGCAGCGACTTGCATTGGCTATGAAATTTCGTGTTTTTTTTTTTAATTTTAAAATTATTTTAAAATTAGTTTTTTAATAATAATTGGATTGGTAACCTGTTAGCAACTTGCAAAAAAGTCAAGTGAACAAATTTAGCAGGTAAGTGTGGTTAATTAGCCTTTAGTTTAGTTCGTGGTGGGAATTGAGCACTTGGTAGTAGTAGATGGGCCTATTTGACACATCTCCCTATAATTAAGGATAAATTTATAAATCTCAAGAAAAAGTTAAAATTTTTACAATCTGAACTATATATTTTATTTAATAATTTGACGGATATGTTTTATACCCATTATAGGTCTAACTTTATCGACTCTTATATATAACGATATAAAGAATAATAATAATAATAATAATAATAATAATAATAATAATAATAATAATAATAATAATAATAATAATAATATTATTATTATTATTATTATTATTATTATTATTATTATTATTATTATTATTTAAGTAATTTAACTGAGTGCTTCTTCGAAAAGAAGAAAAAATAGAGATGGCGGCATTGATGATCCGTTACGTGAGAGGCTATATGTGCACCATTTTGATAATTGAAGGGCAATATTTACACCACTCATAATTTTAGGAGTGACATTGATAATTGGCATATTATAAAGGGGCATTTTTACAAATTTCCCTATAAAATATTGTCTGGTATGATTTTACCCCGTGAATTAGATGTTAGAATTGGAGCCCATCCCATCCTTAATCCATGTATGTCACATTACACTAAATTGGATAACATTGTTACGTACGAATAGAGTGGAGTCAAAAGACATGATTTTTTTATTTTATTTTTTTTTGGGGGGGGGGGGGGCAGGAAGAGGACAAAGCTATCCCCAACAATATCAACATCAAAATTTAAAAAAGAAAAGAAGTTAAATACTTGATATATATTCTCACTATAATTACTGAAAAATAATCATGGTGCTAGTAATTATGTGCCAAAATTGAGCTTACTTGCATAAAAAGTAATGTGTTTGACAACATAGACATATACTAACGAACTAAACACTAATAAGTATATCCGAAAGGAAAAATATAGAAAACCTTAAACTTAT